AACTCACATGACTTTTCTAAATGATGTATGCCTTACTTGCTTCGCTCCAATAAGTGTTCATATTGTTGAAATATTATAACAATATTACTTTTTGGTAAAGGCCTTCTCATATATACATATGATACAGCTGGCTTAAGACTTCATTTGGACTTGTCAATTCGTGTGCCAAAAAGATCTAAAAGTTGAAGTTAGTAAGTAATAACAAGTTCCACTAAAGAGTATTCTGACAGACATCCTGTCACATGCACCACGCTAAACACGTCAGGCACAATGTGCTGAGCTTATGGAGTGATCAGTCAGTCCCTCACACTACAGAGGTTGCTCTGATGGGGCGAATCAGTTTGGGCTTGAGCCATACAGTTGGGGGGTTGGAAGTAGGGGGGTTTGTTGGCAAGGTGAGGTTGTGAGGCTCCAGTTGGTCCACTGGAGGCTGGCTGACTGATGGGCAGAGGGGGGGACATAGCCAGTCTGGCCTGGGCAAGGAGGAGAGGCTGGTGGGAATGGCGGAGGGGTGCTGGACCATGGCCCAGAGTGGTGACTGCCTGTCTGTCCAGGCGCTGGGCCACTCCAGCCTGCTCCCCCAGGCTCCTAACCCTGAGTGGGCATTTCAAAGGGATATGCCTGCCCTCTCTCTTTCAATCACACTTTTGCCCTTGCTCTCTCTCCCTCCTTTCCCTTGCTCCTTCTCCGTCTGCAACTTGTTCGCTCTTCTTACCACTCTTGAGTATCTGGCCGCTCTATCAGTCATTTAAAATGACATTCATTTCCATGTAATTGATTCGCCAATCACAAATGGCACATGCGGTATTAATATGTCCTACTGCACTTTGTTGGTCTTTTCCTGTGCAGTAACCTTCCCGATCTGTTTGATTTCGACCCATTCATCAGACTCTGACCAATCGCACTGTGGGGCATAAAGCTAGAAAGAGAGAAGTGTAGAAGGGAGAGGAGGAGGGATGGAGTTGTACCGCTACACTGGACCCATCTGCCCGATGTCTTCCCCTGCTGCGGAGCATGATGTTGCTCCATGACTCGATGGCTCCACCATGGTGCTGACCATTATGCTGCTGCTTTATTGAACTGTGCCCCAGAAGCTCCACAGCAGAGACCACATTGATTTCAGAGCAACTGAGCTGCATTTGTAGATGTCATTTTATATGTTTATGACTCCATATGAGTTGCATTAGGTTTTGAGAATCATGGTAAAATTATACCACATATCATAGACACCCACAAGGTCTATCCCAAATATGTTTATTACACAAAATCCAGTATAGTTTAATGAAAAAAAATAAGTGTTTTTTTTTTATTAAAAGAAGATAAGATTGTTTTATAGTTTGATTGCATTATATTAAAAAAATAGTTGAATATGTTGTATAAGGGCATGACTATTATTTTAATTTTTTTCCCCCTTTTCTTCATTGCTCGGTAAATAAATAAATAAAATATAAATATACAATTGCACAAAGATTTGGAAGATTTTTTAATGTAATTTACTGTCTTGGTTGCAATATCAGCATGATATTGTTTCATTAAATATACTCATTAGGTCACACTTTATTTTAAGATCCAATTCTCACTATTAACTAAGAAATTTGCCTCACTAAACTCCTAATTTGCTGATTATTAACAGTTAGTAATGTAGTTGTTAAGTTTCGGAATCTAAAATATGGTCATGTGCTTTATATGTACTGATAAACAGCCAATATTCTAGTAATATCCATGCTAGTTAATAGTGAGAATTGGTCCTTAAAATAAAGTGTTACTCTTCATTATGTCACTATAAAGATTTTTTAGGATGATTTGTACATTTTAATGGCATTTTACATTATCATTCCGAGAAGTTTGATAGACTTGTAATGATGTTTCTTATTTGTCTGTAAGTCTAAACAAATACTAAAAGCATTGCAAATTCAAAGCATCACTTAGTCTAAGCCAAAAATTTGCAATTCCAAAGAAATAATTTACCTTAAAATGATTCGTTTGCATTCTAGCTTTCAAGAGAAACGCTCATTCTGCAAATGACATTAAAGCGACAGTAAATACATCAGGCTGCAATTGATTTGACCGCTCTATTTTTCTATTGAGCTTCTGTCAGTTCCTGAGCTTGATTTTACCTCTCTATTTTTCTATTGAGCTTCTGTCAGTTCCTGAGCTACCTATCCACCACCTCCCCTGCCAGCAATTAATGTGACTCCTCCACACCCTCTGTCCGCTCCTCGTCTCCCACCTGGCATTTTCCGGGCAGTAGGTCTAGTGAAATTCCTGCATCCCTATTGCCAGCCGCAAGGCGGTAACCACTGGGGTTTCTGAGAGTGTTCCCACCCCCAGCACACACACACATAGCCTGTCCTGTCCCAGTCTGCAACTCTGGCAGACTCTGAAAAAAAAAAAAAAAAAACAGCTGCCAGCCTGTGGCTGGAAGGGTAGCTGACTACAGGCTGGAGCCAGGACAAGAACATGGCAGGAACGTGATGAGAACGTAATGGAAACATCCAACTGACAGAATTATGAGAGTCCCAACAGACAGCCTCCACTTTTCCAAAAGAGATATAAACAGTTACGAGACACAGACACTAGAAAAGAAAAGAAAAGAAAAGAAAAGAAAAGAAAAGTGTAAGATTTCCAGAGGAAGATTAAAAAATATATTTGCATAAAACGTAAAGAAAACCTTTTGTGCAAGAGCATTAAAAATAGAAAAGGGGAGAGAGATGCGTGTGAACTGGCAGTGTATAAGACAGCAAGACGGTACAATTTGGAGTCTGAGTATTGGTGTATGAACAAGAGTGCCAGAATGTCACTCAAAACAAAGTGGGGTTTGGATGGGGCACAAGCAAGGAATGCTCACCCCATATGGGGGCTCGTCCTCGACTCACATGCCTTTCAAACTGGGTGCAGGGTTAATTATATCACATAATTAAAGACTCAATAATGTTAGCGTGCGTATTTGAGGATGGGTGCTCACAATTTGGCTTGGGGACAAAATAACACAAATAATTGTTATATCACTTCTTAAAGGGATAGATCACCCAAGAGTGAAAATTCTGTCTTTTACTCACCCTTGTGTCATTCCAAACCTGAATGATTTTCTTTCTTTTGCAGATATTTTGAAAAATGTTTCCACTGTTTGTGCCCATACAGAGAAAATCAGGGGGGTCGGAAAACAACGTTAGAAATATTTTCCAAAATATCTTCCATAGAAGAACATAAGTAATATCATGAGGGTGAGTAAATGATGACAATTTTCCTTTTTGAGCGTTAACTATCCCTTTATTTTTAGACTTTACTTCTGTCACAAACCCATAATTAGCCAACGTTTGTATTGAAAGTTTCAATAAGAGATTATTTTAATGTATATCTTATGATCATTGACCCTTTCAGGTCCATGTTACTGGTGTTTGAGTCTAAAAGTGATGCATAAACAGACACACCTTTACCTGGAAGGCAAGATAGAAAGGAAAAAATGGCCACAATCATAAATTGCCATTGCTTGTGCCTGTTTGGTGAATTTATTACGGGGATTTCACAGCCAACCTCACAAAAGAACATTTCCTAAATGTGATCTTAGGGCCTTGCAGACTACAAGAAAGACATGAATAAATCTGAATAAATCCGACCCTCTCTGTTCCTGTGCCTTTGAACTCTGAGAGAGGCGAGAGAAGTGAAGCCCACACTGCAGGGCAGGTTCCACCGTACACCTCATGCCATTTTTGCTTTTCTCAACTAGATGCATGTAATATTGAGTCTTATCATTATTCGTTTGGAAAAGTGAATTTGACACAATTGCATTGCAAGTTCTTTGAAGATCTGAGTTCGTAGATCTTTCACCAAGTTCACCTTGAGGGACTTTGTATTGTGTGTGTGTGTGTGTGTGTGTGTGTGTGTGTGTGTGTGTGTGTGTGTGTGTGTGAAAGTGAGAGAGCAAGAGCGTAGAGAGAAAAGCATGTTTATGCATGACTGAAAGAACGTTTAGTGTCCCCTTGTGTGTACTTGTTTGTCCGTGTCAGTATGGTGGAGGGCTTACTTTGCCTTATATTGATGACTTGAAGGGAAGATTCAGTTTTAATTGAATCCATTTGTTTGCTGCTTGGCCCCTGTGTAAACAGCAGACAAACAATTACAGTAGTGATTAATAACCGTTAAATATTTTCAGAAGATACTAAATGCATCATGCATATGCACAGAATTCTGTCTTGGTTTTGTGCCTTTTTCTGCTCTAGTTGGAGGTTTTAAAGTGTGTTTATGTTCAACAAAATAACTTAAAATGTCTATTTTATTGAAAATAAATTAGTATGCAAATGTTTTAAACACAATTATACATAGACTTACTAAAAAATGTGGTGCTGTACAATATTGTTGTAGTGTGAGTATAACTGTACTAAGAAATTTTAATGTTCTCTCTCTCTCTTCACTTTCTTTTTATCCCCAGTCTGTTTCTATATGTAGATCGCTGTAACCTTGGTGATCTCTTGAAATGTACTGTGCAATCATCCTCCGTTTCTCCCCACCCTTCCAATCTGACATCCTTATTTTCTCGGACCGTGACGCGTAACATTTAACCCCATTTAAGTTTGCTGTACCTTACGGGAAGATGTGGCACACGGGAAATTATGGATGTCAATAAAGATCAAACGAGCTCTTTTATTCATAGTAATTACTTTGTGCAAATATACCTTCACGTTCAAGTGTTCCTCTCATCAAAAATGACTGTTATCGCATTTAAACACTATCACAATTATATCAAATCAGAGAAACATTTGGGAGAATATTAAGGCAAGTTCATTTGTAATGTATCACGCTAAATTATGTCAGTTCAGCCATGTCTAGGGTTTTAACCTAATCTCTAAAGTCAGAACCTTATAAAGAAAAAAAATCACAATATACGTACCACCAGAAGATACAGTCAAGTCAAAAATTAATTTAAATGAATCAACAAAGTCCTTTTTTATCAGTCCAACAATTTCAGAGTAAGTGCAACACGGTGTCATAAGCCACTAAAGATGTTCTAATCTTCAGTTGTTAATAAAACTGTGAAGAAACTGATCCTTTCCTACTGTGCTCCTCCAAACATTCACATAAGATAACATCAGATGATGTCCACTTTGCATTTGCCCACCATGCAGTGCTTGCAAAACATTTGGACCTGCAGGGGAGACAGAAAGAGAGATTAGTACTTTAATGATTTTTTTAATTATTTTTTTAGTAGTAGTAGTAGTAGTAGTAGTAATAGTAGTAATGGATATTGTTATAAATAATAAAATAACATAGCTATTATATTTTATGTCATTTAAATATTTATTTAGACATTATTACTGTAGAATATATTTGTAGACTATATTGTTTGACTATATTAGACTGTATTTTTCTTTGTCTATTTTAATGGGGGTAGGTAATTATCAATGCAATATTCAGTCACTTAAAAAAAAATAGAACGTCGTAATAATATACTAGATACTGTTACATGCTCAGCATTAGAACCCAAATAAACGTTTAATATTGCAACTCGCCATTCAACCAAAGTGGAGATTAAAGGGAAGGGTGTAATTTACTGGGATTGCGCTGTTGTGGCCACAGGCGCGAACAGGCATTGCTCTTTTTCACTTTGACGAACCACAATTCCTTTAAAGATGAGAGTTCCCTCCGGACGAGGGGCGTTTAGAATTTGATAAATAATTTAGCAGTTTAAACAGCGAGAGGCAACGCTGGGCGAGATCCCAGCGATAAAGGCACGCGGGATGATGGTGGATGAAACATCGTTTATTTATCATAGCTGTGACTTGCGTGTTACTAAAGAAATTACACAGCGCGTTAATATCATGTGAAACACACGCTCCTGAATTCTACCGTCTAAAAACCTGCAGATATTAACTTTTCAAGTGTTTTTAGTTCCCGATCAGTTTTAAATCTTAACTGAAAAGCTGCAAAACGACATAATTTGTCCATGTTTTTTATGTTGATTATTTAGATGTTTTCGCAGTCCTGCAAGCACAGTTATCATTTTGGTTCATCCTTTACATGTAGCGACCCGCGGTTTTGTTTTGTTTTGTTTTTTGTTTCCCCCAAAATGTCATACTTGAGCTCAGGCGAATGAGTTCAGCGAAGAAACGGCCATTTGCGTTGAAAGATTCATTTTTCATTCACTTTCGAACACAAAGAACTCCAAAAACGCTTGAAGTGAAAGACATTGTTTATAGATTTTCAAAACAGTACGTGGCAGGTGGATGTGGGGAAATATTAACAGGTAAATCACCAGGATAATGGTGGCTGTCATCGTCTCCAGGGCATTCCACAATAGCAGGTGCACAACTGAAGCTTTCCATCCTGTCTTGAAGTGTAAAAGTTTTTTTCGGCATCTGTAACCCAAAGACTCGATTAATGGGACGCCATTCATAGATCTATATATAATATAAAATAACCTATTATAGGCCTATATTCTACTTTTTTTTAGATAGATCAGATTCTAACTGGAATTACACAATAGGAACTTTTTATTAGTCATGTTTTTAAATTGTCTTTGCGTTTACGTTCTCAAAACGGCATCATCCAATGCAAGTAAAATAAAAGGATGAATAAACTCAAATCTCATTGATAAAATACAGCCATCATGACATATCTATTATTAATATTATTATTAGTTGTTGTTGTTTGTATTATTTATTAATAGGGTAGTAAACAGGAAAATACCTAATCTTAAAAAATAATAATATTAATAATAAAAATTTAAATAATAAAAAAAAAACATTTGCTATAGTTTATGCTTCAATAATATCAAACAAAAAAAAATGTTGTGTTTAAACAGAAAAAGAATTAGAACGTACTGATCCTTATGACTGATCCTATGGATTGGAAATTCTAGTTTGCCATAATAAGAATTAAATCTGATGGTAATGACAAACAACAACAACAATAGTAGTAGTAGCAGTGATGATGATAATACTAGTAATTCTAATAATAGGTAGAATATATTCATAAATTATTTTATTTAGAAAAAGTTGCATTTCATTTAAACATACCTGAGCTTGGATTCAATTAAACAAAAAGAAACATGCGTTAAATAACAATGATCTTTGTTCATATGTTGCTCACCGTTGTTCATTTGTCCGTGCATGGCGAGTCACCCGGGCGCTTGTCAGGTTCTCCTCTTCTCAGGATATCCTAAAATGTATAGACTTAAAGCTGTTATGATACAGTCGGCTTTCCTCCCACACAGAAGAATCCCGATAGAAATGTCTCGAAGTGGATATTGGCAACATGTTGTTTTCAACATTTTTTAACAAGGTTCCTAATTCACCTCCTCTTGCGCTTCTCCACACTGGTTTCACGTGTATTCTACATGTCTTATAAAAGGCCCTAATCTAGCCCCATGGCAATGCGATGCACTCATCTCTTGATACATTTGGGTATATCAGCTTGAGCACTTGCAGTTTGTGCGTCATGTGGACGAGAGGACAGTTTTAAGGAATTAAGTCCCCGTAAATCCCTCCAGCTACGCAACAGAAATGCAAGAGGTCTGCGTGGATTCAAGCGTCCGTATTCAACATTTGTTTTCTCCAATTTAACCTCGCTGTTATATTATACGAATTATAAATATAAGTATATAAGTCTGCTGTTTTCACTCGAGATTATATAAATTATACTATTGTTTCCTTTGCAACTTTTTTAAGTGGTAAGAATAGGCTACAAATTAGCGCACGCTCACAAAGGGCCACCGCAGAACAAAAAAAAACTCATTTCAAACAGATCAATCATACAAATATATAAGAGCATTGTTTTTTAAGATAGGAGTGTAAAAAAAAAAGCATTTCTTTCCACTTTATTCATAACACTATGAGTTAATGTTACAACATAAAATGACATTCCTTTGATTCTCAGAGATGAGAATGTGCTCCGCTAGGGCCTCGCTCTCATTGGCTGGAGAGTTTGCATCAAAAAGTAGCTGCCGACATTTGTTTCCCTGCAAAGGGCCCTGCGAGAGAAACAGACTCCAGTCCAGAGCTCTTCATTGGCCAGCGTGCTGTACAAATCAGACTCCAGCAACTTCAACCCCGAAGAGCAGCGAATCATAACCGTATGTGCTTTAATCTCTCTAAACCATTTTATTCATTCTTCGCGTTTAGCTGTAGAGGCTTCATCATAACTCATTTGCTTCACGGTTTGATGAAAAGGATTTTATCTTGATGTCTTCGATATTTTTGTAACCATTTAGACGTAGATTCGCTATTGGACACAAAACTTTAACGGACTTCGAATTGAATCCAGTTATTCAGTAAGTGGCCCGCCTTATGTAGTCGTGTGCAATATATTTTTCTGTATTAAGATTTTGCGAACAATGTTGTTATTATTTTTTTATTATTAATTATAGCTTGTATTTTGAGAAAACCAACGCGGTCCTTAAAAAGAACAAATATTTATCGATATTTACTTATACACATCTTGACTTGTGGTAGTGCACTGTTTCACATTTTTTATTTTTAAAATGTAATTTAAATCAACGTTTACTACCTGATTGGTTTTCTGGCTCATTTTAACCGTTCGGGTGTAAACCGATAAAACAATGTGCGAACAACGAGCGACATAATTCGGCACACTGCTCTTATTTCTGATGAGAATATGAAGAGAAATAAAAAAGGAGTAGCCTATAACATGCATTTTATAGCTATTGCGTATAGTCTCAGTACTTTTTTATTTCAATAGTTTGTTCTGTATCGTGTCAGAGACTGTATGTGTGTGCGAGCGCGCACGTGTGTGATTTTTATTGTAGTCATGCACAGAATCAATGAGGCCAAACGTTCAGCTGAAGAGGTAGCGTCCAGTAATTAGGGGAGTGCGTGCCACACGGATTATCTCGTTAATTTATCAACAACAACATTTATCATAATTAATTCTTGGATGAGGTAATTACTATTGAGCGGCTGCGCAACTGGTAGACGACGACTGTTTTAAGTGACAGATTGAGGGGCGAAACCGTTGGATTAAAAAAAAAACTTTTTTTGCATAATAAGGCTGAAGTTTTTGTTTAATAATTTCATCATGTATTCAGACAGGATTGTGATTTGGATGATGCTGAACTTCGGTGAATTTGGAGTTTTGTTTGATGACACAATAGTCTATTATAAGAAACTTTTTTTCTTTCATTTGGGCCCAAAAAAATGTATTGGCTAATCTGTTCGTTTGAGTCAAATTATTTTTAAATTCTAATAGTATCTAAACTAATAAAATGAACTAATAACTCTACGCCAACAATCTATCTAGCAACAAAATATTTAATGGAGCATCAAAAATATTAAAGCTGATATATTGTTATACTCTTTTCAACATAAATCAGAATTAACATGTAATTTCTGAAAAATACTAAAGCACGTAATTTTAAGTTTATAGCCTACTCTTTTTACTGATATGAGTGGGGAAAGAAGGTGGTTACTTTTGTCATTGTTACTTTTGTCCCTCGCCAATGGAGCTTTTGTTATCAGCATTAGTTATCAGGCTAACAGTGGTCTTTGTTTCCACCAATAGCTCCCAATCAATGCTCTTATGCCTGAGACAATTAGCCGGGTTCCTATGCAAATTGTGTTTCGGGCTTGTGTGCACATTTGAACGACTGAGTTTGGTCTTTGTGTAGACTTGTTGCAATTAATAGATGTTACTTTTTGGGGTTGGTGGGGAGAGGGGAGGAAGGGGAGGGACGGGGGGCGTTTGTCAAGATGAGCTTCGTTCATCTCATGAGGACAGCTGGAGGTCTGGAGCGGCTTTAAGAGCTCGTTGCTGTGTGGACGTGGTTTATTCGCCTATAAGTCAACGCAGCTAGAGGAACCCTGTTTATATCTAATGATAGATGTTGAAACAACAACCTCCGTCGTCGCAATTAAGTGAACGCCTCTGTTTATCTTTGTCGTTTTTTGAAAACAGGGTTTTTGGTTTCACCTCAACCGCTGAAGACGTTAACAAGCCAGAAGCAGAAATAAGGCTAAGAAAAGAATAAAGGGGCCGGTGTACAGCTTTCCACATTTTCTTCAACTTTAACCCCCCCCACAACCATCTTTAGCATGATGTCGTATCTCAAGCAACCACCTTACACGGTCAACGGGCTAAGTTTAACTACCTCCGGTATGGACCTTCTGCACCCTTCCGTTGGATACCCAGGTGAGAGACAGGCTTCCGAATTATTAAGCATTTTATGTAAAAGATGCTTGGAATGTACGCACACAACGATATTGAGATGTTTTTTCAATATCCATTTATGGATTCAAGAATATGTAGTTACACTTTTTCCCGTATACGTGCTTAAATGTAAATAGTAGGCCTGGCTATTTGATTTATATGCTTTCTAGTCTCATAATTACACTTCCACTCGAAGCTTCTAGAGATGCAGGTTATTATTCAGCGGTTATGTGTAGCTGATGCATAATTAAATTGTAGAGTTATGAGGTAGTTATGAATTTTGAAGAAGTTCACAACCTTTTTGAAATCCACAATCTCACACAATACAATTTATATGCCTTGTAAATCGTAAGAATTTAAAAACACGCCAGTTGGTGAATTAAAATAAAAATGCATCTATTATTCTGACATAGTAGGCCTATGTTGTTTTTATTGCACCAATGATTCCATATCAAACGAGGAAAAGTTTCAAATGTTTTACTAAATAATAAAACAAATCACGTCAAACATTTTAGATATATTGATATTTTATAGGCCTAGTAATATTTGGAATCATACATTAATGTTTATAACCCGCTTTTAAAATAAATCTATGCATGAAAGCTTTTCGGATGGACAATCTTGTGATGCATTTGTTTATTTAAAACAGCGACTCCTCGAAAGCAGAGGCGGGAAAGGACAACATTTACTAGAGCGCAACTAGATATTCTGGAGGCTTTATTCGCGAAAACGCGCTACCCGGATATTTTCATGCGAGAGGAGGTGGCCTTGAAAATCAACTTACCGGAGTCCCGTGTACAGGTACGTATCATTCAAGTCATGCAAGAGTGTCTTAATTTAAAAATGAAACCATCTAAAATCCGTAGACATCTTTATGACCCGAGAGGCGCACTATAATACTAAAATATCTATAATAATGTTTGTTGTTTCTCATTTTGCACAAAGACAGAACAAAGATAATTATACAGCGCTACACCACAATTTAAATTGGTTCACACCGTAAATATTAATAAACCCTGTTTTTTTTATCACGTCAGGTTTGGTTCAAAAACCGAAGGGCAAAGTGTCGCCAGCAGCAGCAGCAACAACAAAACGGAGGCCAGAACAAGGTGCGACCTGCCAAAAAGAAGAGCTCTCCAGCGCGGGAGGCCAGTTCTGAGAGCGGGGCGAGTGGCCAGTTCACCCCGCCCTCCAGCACTTCAGTCCCGGCCATCTCCACCACAACCGCGCCGGTGTCCATTTGGAGCCCGGCCTCCATCTCCCCGCTGTCAGACCCACTCTCTACCTCCTCCTCCTGCATGCAGCGATCCTACCCCATGACCTATACTCAAGCGTCTGGATACAGCCAGGGCTACGCTGGTTCCACATCCTACTTTGGGGGCATGGACTGCGGCTCTTACTTGACGCCCATGCACCATCAGCTGACCGGGCCAGGATCCACTTTGAGCCCCATGAGCAGCAACGCTGTCACCAGTCACCTGAACCAGTCTTCCGCGTCCCTCCCCACGCAAGGTTACGGTGCCTCGGGGCTCGGCTTCAACTCCACCGCGGATTGCTTGGATTATAAGGACCAAGCGTCCTCGTGGAAACTGAACTTTAATGCTGACTGCTTGGATTACAAAGATCAGACTTCCTCCTGGAAATTCCAGGTGTTGTGAAACTAACGAAACGTCTGCCATTCTGTCTAGTCAACACACTAAAAGACCATAAAATAAACCTTGTAGACCTCCCATCCTTCCGAAAACAGAAGTGTTCCGTGACACGCGAACTCTCCGAGATGGATGGGTTGCATTGTGCCCGACAGCGCTTTTGAAGTTCGTCTTTGACATGAAATATCTATTTGAGCTACATGCACCCCTCGTGGCCTGCAAAGTAGTATTTGAAGGGTCGTGAATGCGTATAAACATAGGCCATTTGACCACAACCTGTTGTTTAAGGTACAGGGAATCTGAGTGAATTTGTAATAATTTAGGTCAAAGCCACGGAACAAATCCTTACACAAGAAAAGAGGAGAAAAAAACTACACGGCAAAAGGAGCCAATCTTTTGGTTAAGTGCTTGGAATGGGCAGGCTTTCTCTAAGCCTCTTAC